GGAGAGATTCAGGCTGCAAATGACTCAAAACAGCACAAGGTCAAGCCTGCTTCCCCTCAGCATCTTTTCCTCATCTGCCTGAAAGTCAATTTCTTGTTGTCTCTGTGCTGTGTTGCTGAGCATCTAGGAAGAGTATGGCAGACACTGCAGTTCATATGATAGCAGAGACAAGCTAGGAAGGAGCTCTTAACACATGTTGACACAGACTACCCCAAAAATCCCCGAGATCAGCACCTCCTCCACTGAGAAGCAGGTTAAGTAGATACCACTGCCTCGGTGGGGTAGGAGTGGGAAAAAATGGGGATGCAAAACCAGCCATAAGAAAGGCATCCAGACATGTCCCCAAGAAGCCACATGTTGCCATCAGTGAAGAAGCCAGAGGCTGCTGTGGAAGCACTGCGTGGCTCTCCCCAGACTTCCAGTGATTACCTCATTACAATTGTGCTGGTTTTTTTGTTTGTTTGTTTGTTTTGTTTTGTTGTTGTTTTGTTTTGTTTTGTTTTGTTTGAGGGGGGAAGGAGAACAGTGGAGGGGGATTCCTGGGGAAAATAGGCTGGTCATGAGCCATGACTAGGCTGGGGCCTTTGCTTGATCTGCTACTCTTTGTCTCATTGAGTTCCCCAGAAAATGTCACTAACCTCATCAAGACTGTCCACACAGAAGTATTGCTTTTCATGTGGACTTCACGACTTTGGTGAACCCATGCCTATGGCAGACCTTAGGAGACAACAGGAACCTCCAGAGGAGAGCAAAAGGTTGGGAGAGGACCCATGAGTGTCTTGAATTATTTACCTTCACCAATGCGCTGGCATGCTTTACCTAGGAGAACCCAGCTCAGTATGTACCAAGGAGCTGGACAACTCTGTGTAGAACTTTAGGGCTGAGCAACGCCATCCTTCTTTCTAACAGGCCAGAACTGAAACTCAGAAGTTATGTGCAGAAGCTGACAAGTGAGCTGTTGGGGGAAGGATGGGGCAAAAAGATCCCAACAAGAAAGCAAAGCACAGCATGAAGTGACTCTGCTGTGGCCCATGACTGGCACCTCTGGGCCTGTGCCCAGACAGCTACATGCATTGGCTATGGATTGTGCCGAGCCTTGGACACAACAGCTATCCATGCTGTCTGTGGGGCTTAGCTCGGCACATGCATCAGATGCATCCTGTGGCCACGGCCCTTCCTCTGGTCTTGTGTGGTCACTGTTGAGCACCATGATGTAATGAGGTGACTCCATGCTGCGGTGGCCTGGTGCCAGATCAAAGTCTGGGGAAGCTATTTGGGATCATCTGGTAAACCCACTCTCAGCCATTGCTCAGGAATACTGGTGCCAGCAGCTCCCATGTGCCCAAGCTGAAGGGCAAGAATAACTACTGCTCTGGTGTCATCCCTCCCTGCAGAAGGTATGATCTGGTGTTCCTCTACACATCCACAGGCTTCCCTCAGACAACCGCCCCAGGAAGAGTATGAGGAACAAAGGCTACCCATAATCTTCCAGGCTGAGCAACATTTGTGTCAGTCCAGTTGCCCAGTCACATGCAAACAACCTACAAGGAACCACCAGGGGCACCAGGGCAGAACTGAGCAACAGTTTTGCTGCTTATGGAAATGAACCAGCCATAATTATGGCAGGATTTGTCTCACTAGAGTCACGTCTTTTTAACACAAACGTACCTGAACTCAGCATGCCTGGGCAGCCCTTAGTGTTGGATGGGTAGAAATGGACATTTCCAGGTAGGTTCTGGGGAGGGTACAGGTAAAGAAAAACTAAAGGAATAAAGTTAATGTGTCAGTGGAGGAATGGAGTTATTCAAAGCTATTTCCCAGTGATTTTCCTTGAAAAGAAATGTACACTTTTCGAAATCAACTGGTATTTATTGACTGACAAGAACATCAGCAGAGCAGACACTAGTGCAATACTGGACAACACAGCCAGCCACACAAATATGCATTTTATAATCAAAAGAAAATCAGTTACACATTATATAAAAACTAGGACAGGGTACAAGCAGGACCATAAAGCAACTTAAAACCCACAGCACCATTTTCTTTCTAGAAGATAGAAAAGAAATATAAATAACATCTATACTTCTTGTCACAAAAGTTGAACATCTTGAGGTAGTCAAATGTTTTGTTTCCCTTAAACCACTGCCTTTTGAGTCATTTGCAGCTTTTTTTCACGACATTATATTGTTGCAAATTGGCCTTCCAGTCTTACACATGGTGCCCAAGGGCACAGAAGTGGTTATTGCATGAGTGGGGTTTGTTACCCTGTTCATTAATGTTTCTTGGCTTAAGTCGTTATTTTTATTGATCTAATAAAGCACCCCCAAAAGTAGCATTGTGCTGCCCCTCCATCACAGCAACAGTGTTGCATAGATCCTTAAGGTGTCTAATCATTTTTTGGCCATTCTCCAGATATGTGATTTCTTCCCAGGCAGGGTCAATTCTTAACTTGGAGACAGTGGGTTAAATCCACGCCAGAACTTAAACACACCTCACTAAACCTTTTCTGATTATTATCTCCCTCCTGCACTAAGCATGCTGGACACAATTCTACCCAAACCAGCACCACAAAACACCAGGACCAGCAACAAAAACTGTACAAGCAAGCACACAGGGATAGGGAGTAACCTGTGACTGCAAAGTAGCCTTCCATAGTAGTGAGGATTCCTGCTAGCTCATAGGAAACACTGAGAATTGTCACTTCTCAGGGTTCTTGGATCTTAGGTACAGAGAAAAGAAGTCATCCTAAATAATAATTAAAAAAAAAAAAAACTATACAGGAAAACATGTGCAGCTCAGATTTTTAGTGTCAGTAGCCATACTAAGGTACATTTGTGCTTGGAATATAATTGCTTTATAGCCATGTCATACATACACCTATGCTGCTAAAAAGACTTTAATGTAAATATGAACCCCTTGTATCTCCAGCTTGTCATTTCAGGAACTTCTTGGCACATATAAGAGAAGAGGCAGCACATCTGTTGGATCTGTAGTGCACCGTAAGGTGCACAGTATAATTAAAAAGTTCACACACACATCAAATGGAGGCCCAGCTCTTTACATCTCCGATCTCCAGGAGATGGCAGAAGAGCATTGCTCAAGATTATGTTGCTTGGTCTTGATTCTTTAAGAAAATACAGTTCAAACCTGAGAATAGTGAACGCCAAGCAGAACCATGTTTTGCTCCCTGGCAACATAAAGCGTCTCACTGGTGTTAACTGAACTAAAGTATACCTCTGAACATCAACCCAATACATCTCAAGTTTAGGCAGTAAAAAAGTTACAGATAACTGAATGGAGAAATAAATAAAAATTAATATTAAAAAAAAAAAAAAAAAAAAAAAAAAAAAAGGAAAAAACAGCTATCTGCCTCAGGCAAAATTCCTCACTCTTAGAATTCAAGGATACCAAAAGGAGGGATATCAACATTGCCTTAAACACAAAATATGCTCAAGTCCTTTCCCCAGGCCTCATGTGGCATTTGCAATAATTATTTATTTCCCCATCCGTACACATCATGTGGTTTCCAAACATTGAAAGGCTGTCTATTCTGGTTGGCAGGGGCTGACCAAAAAGCCTTTAAACTGTGACAGGAAAGAGTTGAAATAGGTTTTGAGCTGAGCTTGCAGAGCAAAGCCAGGAGGATATCAGACTTCCTTGTCCAGACTTGGCTTGACAGCTCAGTTAACAACCAAAACTTAATTCAGCCAGATGCCAATCTTCTGTATTCCACTGAGGCCAAATTCAAACCAATCATACCACAGAATGAACCGTCTCTTCCTCAGGTCTTTTCCATCTTTACCACTTTAACAAGCAGCACTGAGCATTGCAGGATATAGAGCTGCAGACACAGAAGTCCCCTCTGGTAGATGAGAAACCAGTCCTTAATTTTCCTCTCAAGTATCTTTTGTCCAGCTCTTAATCAACATTTTGCCTGTGCTGCCAGGGCTTCCAGGCACAACCTTACCTTTCAATTTACTTTATTTACATTATTCTTTGATTATAACACTACAAAGTTTATGTGAGATCCCCTTGGGACTGTTAACCCAATACTCAAAACAAAGGGCAATGCCATCTCATAATCCCTGGTAGCAAGACTAGACAAAAACAATGTGATGCCAGTTACAATAGCTCATGGGTCAAATGGCAAAATAGATCATGTTTTGGAAAAAAAAAAAAAATGAAATAAATAACTAGAGGTAATCCCTGCACATTTCAAAAGATCCAGGATTTTCAGTGACAAGGAACTTGGTGACACCATCTCAAAAGCATGAATGTCCATATGACAGGAGCTATACATTAAAAAAAAAAAAAAAAAAGATCTTTTCATACTAAGGATTCATCCTGCCTTGAATATATTCTCTTTGCCTGAAAAAGCGTCAGAGGCCCAACTGAGCCCAAAATATCCACATTGAGGGGGCTTGATCTAGTTGCCTAAATACAGGCATCTAGTCCTTTTGCCACAAGTCTATCCTCTGTTTCCCACTAACATCAGTGTTTCAGCCACAAAAGATACAAATAACCTAAGCTGCAAGTTCTACCAGTCTGACCATATTCCTCTCTGCCTAAATAATCATCTTACCATCTTTCTGGTCTTGTCTTTTAGGCTGTTGTGCACAACACCTAACATGCCTCTGAAATGCACTCACCCCCTGCTTGAAGCATTACACTTGGGAGACAGAAAAAGGGTATTACTAAAATAACACTTTTCACTGTGTGAAAGCCAGACTTGCCTTTAGGATGGGTGAAAGAAGCCTACCAATTTAAAAGGCTCTTGACAGGAAAGTGAAAAGTGTTTCCTTCCATGCTCATTGCAGAGCAGGACCAGGTCATTGGAGAAGACCAACTGACTTGCATACAGTGCGTTTTTTCTTGTTGTTGTTGTTTGTTTTTCAGGAGTAGAAAAGAGAAGCAAGTCTGAGCAAGGCAAAAAGGTTCACTTCGAAATGAGCTCATTCTGCAGGTAACTGGGGAGGACCTCAAGGGCCCTACAAACACCAGCCAGGTCCAATGAGGCTACCATCTAGCCTGTAGCCCATCAGCCACCTCAACCAGCTTTCAACTTCTATTCTGTGACTGGAGTAAGTGGGTAGGGGAGAAAGCAGACTTTCAGTTATACGTGAGATGAACTGTAGATCTTCTTCAGTAGGTCCTGTTGGTTTTGCAGGGCAGGAATGCATCAGAGTTCCATTGACCATAGCTCCCAGTGCACAGCTTAACTGTTCCTACTGCAAGGGTCAATCACAGCGCTACTCAGCAGGGTCACCTAGAGCTCACTAAACACAAAGCTCTGAAGTGAAGACCTAACACTCCTTGAGACATAAAAAGCCTACTCTTTTCCTAAATGAGAGAGCAGATTCACAACCCCTTCCTGAAATCCATCTGTCAGCAGCTAACACTGACTCAGATAACATTACTAGAAGATTAAAGAAGTGGATTTTTTTTATTAAAACAATTTCATGGCAAAGCTGGAGACAGAATGTACTGTTGTAGAAAAACAGTTCCATCCTGAGCTCTTGCCTGCAGTGACTGCTGATTAGACAGGCACGACTTACATAATGTGTGAATCCCAATCTATAGTATAGTGTCTAATGGAATCCCCTTAGTTCACTCTGTCAACATTAGCTCAAAGAGGGAATAAAATGGAATGAGTTCATCAGGAATAGTTTCCACCACCTAGGAGCATCCTACCTGCCCTCAGATTATGAGATCTCAGTGTAGAGAGTGTTTAGTGCATGCCCAGAATTTACTGGTCCAGTGGGCAACCAAGAAATGTAATTTTTTAAGGCAAAAGGACAGAGTGGTGCATCACAGAACCACAGAATCATCTAGGTTGGAAAAGACCTCCAAGATCACCTAGTCCAACCTCTGACCTAACACTAACAAGTCCTTATCCACTAACAGTTGGATATCATTCTTTGGTATCCAACTGTGCTTTCTCCCTCTGCCCATGTCCCAGTCCCTGTTTAAATGAGAACGCTCCATGTAATGACATAGTAAATATGTCAATATAACATTGACAAATAAACCTTAAGTGACAGGGTACTTCTTTGCCCTCAGATGCTGTGCAAGCCAGGAGGTCAGTAGAGCAAACTGCCTGGGATAAATAGTACAGATGAGAGCTAGTTCCTTTGTCCCTTCACCTATGATTCCTGTTCCTAACAATTTTAATTCATTGGGATACTTTTTCATCAAGAACATTGAGACCCGTGGGAAGATTTCAACTCCAAAAAGATTTAAAGCAACATGTAAATAATGGTCTGCTCAATATTAATTTCTGGGGTATTTAAAAAGGCCAATTAACCCAATTTGCAGCATTATATCTGTCATAAACACTTTGATTCAGTCCAAGTCAACTTAAGCCAGAACAAGGGGTAAAGAGTAATAAGCCCATTAAGAGACCTGTAGATAGCCAAAGGAAAGGTGTTAATGGCCTCTAAACAGTTAGTTAATGGCTAGATCTGCTTTGAGCCAGTTCTCTCCCATCCTTTTATGAAGCAGAAATCAAGAATAGTTGTAAAAACCAAAGAGAAACAATGTCAAGATAATGTGAGTACACATTTACCACTGCAAAGTAATTTTTCAATGTGTAAATGAACACTCAAAAGCTGGAGCACACAGGTGAGATCTCACTGCACTTTAGGAGAACTGAATCCCATTGAAACCCTGACCAATTCAGCCTATGGCTCAGTTGATCCAGATGACCTAAACCAGCATCTTCATCCATTATATTGCCTCTGAATTTTGATCTGAGGATGAGTATTTAAATATTCTTTTTAGCATTATCCAAACTCCACAGCAGCATCCTGCTCACTGACTTATAACCATTACCAAGGATAAGTAAATGCAGCACCTTTGTTTTCTCAGGGACCCTCCAGAGCTGCTCACCATACAAACTGGGAACCTCTTACTAACTGTAAACTCGGCACTCAGGTTGTGCTCCACACCTCTATGTGTGCATGGAGGCCAGGTCAGAGACTGCCTCACTGCCATTCCCAAGACTGTATTTTAAGACACAAACTAAGACACAAAACAGGCTGCTTCCATTGTGCTCAACTTAAAGTTAACCATAAAAACACGACTCGATGCCAAGGTATGACAATTCTGTAATAGGATTACATGAATAGCCAGTGTGCCCTTGCCACAAAGAAGGCTAACATTAGGCTGCATTAGGCATTGCCAGCAGGTTGAAAAAGGTGATCCTAGCACTGGTGAGGCCACATCTGGAGCAACATGTCCCGTTCTGGGCTCCTCACTACAAGCGAGACATGGGCATACTGGAGACAGTCCAGCAAAGAGGCCACAAAGATGATGAAGGGACTGGAGCAACTCTCCAGGGACTGGAGCATCTTCTCCTCAGGAAAGGCTGACAGAGCTGCAACTGTTGTTTCTTTCAGCCTCAACCAGTCTGTGGTTCTGTGCTTCTCTGGACAGTGCTCTTCTCACAGGTCACCTTCTCTCATGTTAGATGCCTCTATTGTCTAGATATATCTAGCTTCTCAGTGCAGGGATTGTCATTTATGACTTGCAAATTTTTTAAATGCTCTGGTTACTGTAGTTCTTAATTCCCTTTCAGAAATTTTACTTCTCATTTGCAAAGGGCAGAATTGTGGGATGTGATGCACACTGGGCACCAGGGCAGAGTCGTACATTTAAGACAAAAGAGGCAATGAAAGTTTGATCAGGAAAAACAACAACAGCGACAAAAACAAAATAGATGCATAATTAGCACCATCACCCTGGATCCACCACCACAAAACAACCTCCTGCGAGGCAGTATGCTGCAAAGGATTATTACTTCACGGACCTCAGCTGAGTTCTGTGATACATGCACTTTATCAGATACAGTTCCAAGTTTCCTGTGTACAGCAAGGTTAAAACATGGTTACAATGTGCTTGAAGTCTAATGCCCATATTGTGCATATGATGGACATGAGCTCCATTTCTTTGTAAAGTGGTATTTCTGAGGCACAATTCTTGCATCAAAATGAAGCTACTCAACAGTGTATTTGAGTTCAAAGCAGAGAAGATTCAACCAGCTTCCAGAGAACATAACTTAAAATCCCCTGTTGCCAGAGTCATTTTGCCTTGGTGCAGGAACATGCCTGTCTCTGCTACATCAGAATGCAGTCTCTGCTCAGTTGCCTCTCCAGTTCCTTTCTTCTCTTGTCTCCACGAAACAAGGTGCAAGCCCTCATTATTTCAGTTTGACCACTACAATGCATTTACATTTGTGCAAGTGAGGGATGATGGGGGGGGAAATATTCCTGCAATTGTGAGTACAAGCTCAAGAGAGAGATTTTGACTGCCTCAGTGGTTCTGCTGCCCCCTTATTGCTACCTCTCTCTCTCCCTCCTTCCTGATCTGTTACCTGGCAAAACTTCTGGTTTTCACCCCTCATACAGGGGCTGTCCCCAGATTTGGGGATCTCAGCACTGCGATAACAGGAGCACTAGACATTTTTGGTGCTTGCTTTTTCCCTTACCCCACAGTAGAGAATTATGTCCCATTCTCCATACTTCTTTCTTGTACTCTAGGATTTGTTTGGACCCTCTAGAGCTGATTTTACTGCTTGCAGCTGTAGACCACCTCTTCCTGCATGCACTGTTGGCACTCAACATAGCAACACCACTGCACCTGACAGTGGCAAGAGAAGGTAACCAACCGGCTCTGGGTGTTATAGCCTCGTCCACAACACATGCTGTCACAGTTGCCCTCGCGAGAGCAGGTCCTCCCAGCAGTTCCCAGGGAGTATTTGCTGGGCCGGCAGAAACTGGGGGAGTCCTCCACATACACCAGGTCAGTGGCACGGGGCGAAGCAGGGTGCTTGGTGGAATGGCTGTGTCTCTGTGGGCTGGCCAGCTCTGAGTGGCCCACAGCATCATTGGTGGTGCTGAAGACCTTGACAGCATCATCATAGCGCAACTTGAGCAGTCGTCCAACCTCATGGAAAGGTGAAAGCTGCTTCCAACATGTCCGGACAGCACATGAACCAGAGACGCCATGGCACTTGCATGTGGTTTTGAGACCATTTTTCACAGCCTGATGAGGAAGAGAAGCAGTAATCATTATCTGCCAGGACCACGAGTCCTGGTTCTGGGTAGAGATTACACCTCAATTGCAGGCAGCCTGAGAGTACTTCAGTTTTATTGGCATTATTCCTATTTTACAGAAAGAAAATGAAAAAATAAAGGAATTTCTACAGAGTTGGTCAGAAAGTTAAAGCTTGAATAATTATAAATGTCTGAATATTGAAGCTAGTCAAATTCTTACTAAGCATACGTTTGGAACAGCAGGAGTAGTCAACCATGAAACTGTGTATCTCCAGCATGGTCAGTTCCCGCTCTTAGCATATTCAAATCAAGACAGTGCTCTAATCAAACAAGTAATTGGACTCAATATATAGAAATAATGTTAAGTCAGTAGCCTGTAATATATAAGCCAAAATGCTTGATCTAATGGCCTCCCTAACCCAACACTGTAACATGACTAGGTCCATAGCAAATCACACAGACATAGCAAATCTCCTCTGGACTCATAAATGATCTCAATAGTATCAACCCTTGATCTGCTTCATACTTCATACCAGCACTGAAGCTCTCCTGTTGTCAAACCTCCCTCTGGCCATTACATAACCAACACAGTAATTCAGCCAGTGAGTTTCACAGCTGTTACTGTACTGCATATTACTACCACTCAGCCTTTGATATTGGTAGAGGGTATAGCTTGCTACTCTCCTATTCCAAACATCTAACTCCTTATATCATAATTCAGGAGACTTTCCAGGGAGCTCTCTCTACAAAACTGAGAGCCAAAACACACAGGTAAACAAGGGTCTGGTTTCTGACTAGGGCAGTAAATACTCCTCTCACAAACAACCTTGGCTGAGGATGGGTTGGAAGACTTGCACTGAACCCTAAATTCTCTTTAGGCCTGCTGCTGCAACTCCTCACCTTGATGCCAACATTCGTGTTGTGGATGTCCACCTTGGCCCGTAGGTCTTTGCCAATCCTCTTCTGACCCAGGAATTTTTTCAGGAACTTTGTGCTGTATTTGAGGTTGTCTCCACAAACACCCCATTGCCAGGCCTTGCGGTTCTCCAGGTCTGGGGAGTCATCACAGGTGCAGCGCTCCATGCGCCCAGCACTACATGCTCTGGCCAATGAGTGGGTGAGAGCTGCAGAAGACACTGCATATAGGAAGGCAGTTTCCTTAAAACCTGCACAGGAGAAGGATTATGAGAGGGTAGGTGCAAGAAAGGCAAAATAAGGTGTTCATCCACCTCACTGGCTCTCCTGTCTGTCCATGAGCTAATACCAAGCACAGTACTTGTCTTACAGACAAAAGAGACAAAATTATTCCATTACCTGCACATAAATCCTATCACAGAAGGCCAATATCAGGTTTGAAGCAACTGGTATATTAACATCCCAGTCTCACCTGGTGACTGAGACTGATTCAACATGGAGACAGAAGACCACTCATGAATCAAGGAATTAGAAAGGCAATATGCAAACAGTCCTGGGAAAATGTGCAACTACAAAAAGTGACAGTCATGAAACTCTATTTGTCCCCCTTCCTCACCACAGAGCTGATAGGTGAATAGGGGCAGTCACTGAAAACATGTTGTCTAAAACCATGAATTATTTTAAAGAGTTTAAAATCATGAACAAACTATTGTTCATAATAATGTTCACATAATAATCATAATATGTTCACGTAATCATAACCATTGTGTTCATATAATCAAGTTTAAAATCATGAACTATTTAGTAGAGACTGAAAAAAGTATTTTAAAAATACATTAATATACATATCATTTATTTCAAAATGTTTTTACTTGGGACTATTTTGACTTACTAGTGGTATTTCATATTGAAAGATGACAAGTAGTTTGATTGAGAAAGGTTACATGTTGGAAGAACATCTTTGGCAAGGACAGAATCTCCAGCATATAAGTGGATTTTATAACTTCTCTTTAAAGAGACTCCCAGCGACTGGGGTGCTGCTTTCTGAAGCTGTTCTCCTTTTTAAACCAGGCTTCCCAGACAGGCTATGTTCACCCTGATAGATATGACCGTGACACACCACAACATATAAACCATGTAAGAAAATACAATGCCTGAACAGAAATTGCCTGATGACATAAGATCAGATAGGAATGGCCATGTGACATGATATCCATGAGCTCCACAGATGTCCCAGAAAGCACTGATTGGCACATACCTCACCCAAACCCCAAAATATTTTATTTTCCTGTTTAACTCATTGGAAAATCTTAACATTTCCTCCAGAGTTTATCTGCAAAAATTAAAACCAGTGGAAAATTTTGAATGGAATATTGTTTAACAAGTCCATAATTTAGGAAGCAGACCAAGGATGAGAAAGGCAACTAATCAATATCTCAGAATGCAGGAATGGAAAAGACTGGCCAAAACCAGACAACTGTTGGTTTATGAAAAATACACTTGTACATTGCATGGAGGGAAACATATTGAAGAAAACAAATATTCCACACTGGAAAATTCCAAATTTCTTTCCACATCAGAAGGAAACAAATCTGTTCCCCTAAAAACATGAAAGAGAGAACCACAGAGATCTGATCTAGTCTGCAGTGAGCCCTGCTTTGTTAAAAGGTTGGAAGGGACCTCTAGAATTCATCCAGTCCAACCTCAAATCTTTCCATCATTCTATTCCCTCAAAGAATTCCCATCCAGCTGTAATAACAGATCGGACCAATGACTGTTGAGATCCGGGTGAGGTCACCATAAATCTGACCACAGAAGAGGACAAATAGTTCTGCTGATAACTATCAGTAAGAAGAATGACAAATTGACTAATCATACACATAATGGAGAGGCTGTATTTGCAAATTCAAGACAGACTTCATACGCGATTGTTCAAATTCAGAAATTTTAAAAGAAATATCTAGCAACAGTCCAGACATGAGAGAGACAAGAAAATATTGAGGAAGTCAAGTAGTTCAATCAACAAACTTCTTCCTGCCTCCACATGTAAGTTGTTGTATCACAAGTAACAAGGGACAAGTAACTTCCAGCTAAGCTCTCTGATTGACAATGCTCTGTAAATGTTTGAGGGTACTGGAAGAATAATGGAAAAATGTCACCAAATCCATCTAAAGTTTTGGAAAAACTCATATGGGATTCAGTCATTACAGATTTTGAATAGCAAAACAATGCTCACACGTTTTTGAACACTGGTTAACTCAAAAGAAGAAGCTAAGAAAGGATGAGATATATTTGGGATCCTAAACTTGAAAAACAGTTCCAGTAGCTGATCTCCAAATCCTTACCAGATTCCCAATATCCTATATGAGATACTAATACCAGAAGAGAGGAGTGCATTTTAGAAACACTTTCTCATACCATATAAAGCTAGAAGTACCAGTCAGCTCCACATACTCTGCTAAATCTGACTTTGTGGAACACCACACTGCTTCTGCTATTTCTGAGTAGTGATGGTTTGGTTCTTTCTGTGGTATTCCACGTAACTGCTGGCCAGATATCAACCCTCTTGAAATCAGAGACCATTGCTTGTGGTCAGACCATTGCAGACAGCAGTAACTGAAGATAACGAGCATACTTTCAAATCATGTCCTTCTTCTCCTCCCTCCCATCTCCTTTTATGGCAGAGGTTCAGTATCAAATGCTTGTCTGAAAAATCTATGATTCCTTCTCATTCATTGTAAGGGACTGATCCCCATTTAATTAATTCACAAGCACATGAGTAAAGAGAAAATGAAGCATCCTTAAGTCTTTGTTGAATAACAATAAACAACAGAGCAGCTGTTTAAAATGTATTTTCAGAAGGGTATAGCACAAATGAGCAGGAATCAACTCCAACAAACACGTTATTGAGAAGATCTAAATGGAGCTTTCTACATGTGTGCTGGGTATCTATCCTCCCACTATGTCAATGGCATTCTTGTAACCACAGCCAGTGGAACCTGGCTGTCAGAGTCTGTTTAAGGGATGACTCCCTCTCCTGCCCCTATATTCACTAGGTGGCTAGTGACTATAATAAAATCTTAAACACACTGTGCAAGGGGGAACATCTAAACACAGACATCTTTTGGGGGCAGTAGTAGGTTCAATTACAAACAAACAGCACAAAGTTGAATTTCAAGATGCTGAAACAAGCCATCTACTCTTGTTAGGACCTTGCAGATTTCCAAGTCTTCCTCTGAGCTCCCTTGAATTATTTCTCTAACTTAGCAGCCTATAAATACAGAATGACATTTGCTGTGATGGTAAGACACTGGTCTGTGGTATGGTGTGCTCTAGACCACAATGAAAACTGTAATGGGAGGAGTTTAGCCATACGGTGATTCTGCCAAAGGAAAGATGCTCAAGGTTGAAGATTTGAAGATACTACAGTAAAGACAGTGTGAACATTTCAGAGCAAGTGGAAGAAACAACTCTCTGGGAAAAAAAAATAATACATATATATATATAAAAATACACCAACAACCAAAGACCAGAGAGGTATAGAACTGTATAAAGCTTTAGAAAAAAAGGACTTCTCAAGATCTTTAGCCCAACCTCCTGCTTGAAGCAGGACTAACTCCAATCAAGTTGTCCAAGGCTTTGTCCAACTGAGTTTTGAAAGTCTCCAAGGATGGAAACTCTACGACCTCTCTGAGCCACTGCTCCTGTGCTGTATCATTCCAACTTCTTCACAACACCAGTGAAACCACTGTTAGAACATCAAATAATCTGAACAACATGAAGCAAAGAAATGGAGAGAGGATTGTGGAGTGCTCAGTTCTCAAGGATTTTTCTGAATGTCTAGATCTGAGCTGTCTTTGCTATAGGTATTATTTTCCCCAAATCATCATTTTGTTTGAGATGAAATATAGCCTGCCTGACCTCCAGCAGCAACTGACCACATTTATGCCATACCTTGGAAACCAAAAAACTCATCACTATTTCACAAGTTTTACATAAAGACACCGACTGCCACCATGCAAAAAGATGGCTTTCAATGTCTTTCTGGGATCATTTTAAATCCCTCTATTTTCACTGATTTTTTTAAAAAGTGGAGAAGGAATGAAGGGAAATTTTACATGGATCAGCAGAAAGCAATAGCAACTGTACATGACTGCAATAGTCATAGAAGGATTGTAGGTATGGTATGAAGGATGATGTGTGTGTATATGTAAATATGTATATATACATGCTATGTATTTGAAATGCCAGCTTTATTTTCACCATCTACTTCATTTGTTGCTTTACATTGACAGTCTTCTGGATACAACCAGGAAACTTCTTTTGCATAACCTGCAATCCTTGTGTGACTATTGTAGTTATGTAATAAAGCAACAAATGAAGCAGATGGTGAAAATAAAGCTGGCATTTCAAAAACCAGAAAACCCATGGTATACATATACATATATATATAAAAAATATGTAAATACAAAAAATAAGATGGTGGCATCTGGAGAAGCAGGAAAAACATCTGTGATCCTAGCCAGTCACTGAATTTTTTTAGTTGTGACTGCAAATTAAGTGTGGCTTTTCATCTACTATAAAAATGAACTGTCTCACCAGAACATGATCTTTTCTCCTCTCTTTCACTGGTAGGACCATTAAAGACTGTTACGTGAATGCTTTTCTTGATGGCTTCTCTACAACCATGACAATATCAAATTATCTAATCTTTTCTAAAACTCTTCATCACTACTTGGGTGAAAGGAAAATAGCCCATTTTCTGACTGATGATTTCCAAAGCAGCAACAAAACAGCATTAGGAATTTGTGAGAAACACATCAAAAGCAGCAGCTGAAAATGTTCGTCTTCTTTGTGAAACTAACCTGTTTGCAAGTTAAAGGAAAATGAGAACTAATAATTGCTTCCAGCCAACTGTCCTCTCATACAGGGGATGTACACAGCATACTTTACTGTATTAAATCATCATTTGATCCTTAAGATTGTGTAATAAAAGTTTTCAAACACTTATCCTCATCTGCCAAAACAGGTTTTAAATTACAGGTGATATTTTATTTTGTCAATCTGGAGTCCATGGAAATGTTGAGGCATGCCACCACAAGATAATTAAATGTTTTCCAGCTATTTGAAGATGAGGATTATTCAATTGTCATTTTCAAGTTCTTTGAGGTTGATGGAGGCAGACATGTCAGAAAGTCACTCAAAATGATCATGAACAGCTTTTTCATGAGCTTAAAAATTCACAATAGAAGTTTGCAATAAACTAAATCTAATCTTGTATGTGCTGAAGTTTACTAAAATATTAATATATTTAATTGAATAAAATTTGATAATTTTAAATTGAAATGTTATAATGTTTCAATTCCAATGCTAATTAACATTTTAATTTCATCAAAGTTATTCATCTGCTTTTTTGCTAACTTTTATACATTAATATTATTGAGGGGCTGAAACTGGGTAATACTGAAGTCTGAAACTCAGCATATGTTACTAAATATTACTGAAGAAGTGAAGCTCAGTAATAGGTTGGTCAGGTAGTATTTGGATGAGGACAGATTCAGAAGAGTGTATATGCATGCTCTGTGAAACCACATTAAGAAATGCTTTCAGGATCTATCCTCATTTAGTTTACCTCAACTTCTTTTAATTTAGAAGATTTATTATGCTGACTCCTACCTCAAATACAGCACTTACAGGACATTTTCTTCCCCTAAAGCCTTCTGTGAAGCAGAAGCCATTGACTCTTCTGTTTGCTATATCTGAACTTTTGTGGAAACTCCAAATATATGACAAAAAGTCTTACGAGATATCTGTAAATGTGCACTGAAATGCCTTAGAGCTGATAAATGGCTTTTTAAATTGAAAATTAGGATTAAATTCTGTATCCAAGAACAGCCAAGGTTTACATCCAAAGACCCTCAAAAAAAAAAAAAAAAAAAAAAAAAAAAAAAAAAAAAAGTCTTGTCTTAAAATTTCCCTTGAAATAAAGCACTAATTCTTATTTTTCAGAGCATCATTCCTGATTGACAGCCAAGAAAGATGATCAACAAAGGAAACTCCAGTTTTGGACAAAATTCCACAAGACAAGGGTATGAACTTCCTTTTATATTTCAAACCATGTACAAACCACTAAGGAAGGATGAGGATAAGGCACTTGTCTATTCTGTGGCAAAAGAGCCCAAATTGCATTATATTCCCCGCTCTCATTCCTAGGCAAACCAGATAATCTCTGAGCTACCCAGTTAATGCCCCATGTCCTTTGCTGACTGTGAGATGCATATTCCAGGCAATACAGCACCAAGTGAGATTTTATACTGCAAACAAAGGACTACCTTGTACCTCGCTTCAGCAGACTAGTCCGTCCTTCCAGGCTGCAGTTCCAGCGCTCACTGCGAAACTGGTACTGGCACTCCATGATCCCAAGCCGGATGGCATCACGCAACGTCTCTGCCAAGCCAGGCTCCCTCCGGCATAGCCTCTTCTGCTTGCGGGACAGCTTCAGCAAGTCACACTGCTTCATGTGAACTTTTCCCTGGGCAGAGTTTGTTGAGGGTCCCAAGGAAGGAAAGTGGGTCAGAGCTTCTTTCCCGGTCAGGCTGAAAAAAAGCAAAAGAGCATTGAATCAAGGAAGACAGCAGTCATGGAAGAGAAAGGTGATCAGAGGGAAGGATAAATGATACTCAGAAATTTCCTGGTTAGGGTATTTTACCAGCTCAAAAGTTTAATCAGTACAAACTGATCAGATTTTGTACCTCTCCACTGCACACCAAGGCAAAGTAGCAGACTAACACTGCGGGGAGAAAGAAGAAACACATGGGTGTTGGCAACAGCAATGCACCTCAGGTGGGAAGCTCTTTTGATTCCATGAGGATGTGTTTTCACACCTCTAGTTTTGCTTCCTGTGCAGTTCTTCTGCCATCACAGACCTGTTTCTTAGCCTACATTTTTCTAAATGGTGCTGCAATTCACTGTATGCCACAGCACTGTGCTTGCTCCATAAAACATTAACCACATCCTTTCAGGGTTTTGTGTACACTGGTACCACTAGACGTAGCTACTAGACGTAGCTAGGAAAGACCAATAGGGAGATATTAACAAACAGCTTTTTAGAGCAAGCACAACTTTTGTCAGAAAGGAAGAAGGGGTCAACTAAAATGTATTGTGTTTGGTTGGTAAGTAGCTTTTTTAAACAAGAAATTAGGGTTAAATTCTGAATTAGAGAAAAACAGGGATTTACATCTGAAAATAGTTTCACTTTTCATGGAAAGACAGTATTTTTCTTTACAAATTTATCTCCCTTGGCATATTTTGGATGGCTGAAAATATGACGGAATTATTTTACTTTGAGGCACAACTTGAAGGCTGCAAACAAACTGGGAAGAATCATGCATTTGCACAACATTTATCTGCAGTGCCACTCCTGACTGCCAAGCAGGGAAGAATCGCAGAACTACCCCCCAAAACCAGAAACATCCAGATAAATGAAAACCTTTGAAAATCTTTATTCTTCAATCAATCTCAGCCCTGGCATTACCACTTGCAGACTTCCCCAAATGCCACTGTTTTCTTTGCAAGTCCACAGCAAGCTCAACATGGACAAAAAATATGTGAGCCAGTTGGTTCTTGTTCCTCCTCCCCAGTCAGGCAAACTGGGCTGTGCTGCTCCACAAAGCAAGTGTGGGAGTTGGACAAGCAAAGCTGGATAGGGAGGGATGTACAGGAGCAATCTCTGAAGCACGTCGACAAAGACTACCTTGCTGCTAGCACCTCACCAGTAGTGTAGCGACTCTTCCATCATCTTCCCAGCACAGCTCAGCTTTTGTGCAGACCAAGATAAATGGAGATGCCTTGCTAACAGTGGTTGGGACCTTGGTACAGCACCAAAAAAGGCAAATCCTCAGAGCAGAGCAGGATGTGAGGTTATTCACTGCACTGCACCATTGTTGGCTTCCTTCTAAAACCATGGTTCTTTTGCGGCTGAATTATCTGACCAGGTCTGACTGGTCATGTCTCCAGGTGTATGTTTCTGTACAATAAATACCAGTCTGCACTGGCAGAGAGAAGACAATAGTCTGTCAGCAAACACAGAAATCCACATTCTCTACCACACTCCAGTTCACAAGCAAAGAATGTTAACCAATGGAGGAGACCAGACTGAAGACTTACCTAGCTCCACAAAAAACAGACATTTCTAACACTCTGGTCTCAACTGTTCAAGCAAGTCCAAACTCTCATGAAGACTATAACCTTCCTTACAGAGGATGTAAATCAAGTACTGCAGCTGCTGTTTTAGTTCCCCACATACTTTATAGACATTTCCTTGTGAGCTAGTTGTCTAGATCTCTGTAGTCAATCCAGTCTACCCAGGCATGGGACTTAAGAGTACAACTTAGCTGACCTAAGCCCGGTGCACTTTTGCACTCATTGTCACAGTAACCTGCAACCTCCACACACTCACCATTCCATAACTGTGTAAAGTAGGATTAATTAACCCTGGGAAATCATCCAGAGACCAGCAGACTAACCAAGAAACAAGGAATCTTTATGAATCATACAACAAATATTAAACTTAAGAAACCAAGAAGAATCTCTTAACCTGTTGTCATTGCTGAAATGGGGGACAGAAACATAAGACTAATAGTGAAAGCCAAGGGAAAAATAGGCAATACTGAAAACTGAGGCCAGATTCAGCCTAAGAAACTGGAATTAACGGAGCTTAATGATTTTCCGAATGCAATGCAGACTGCACAGTTCAAAACCAAGTCTGGCAAAGACTGCACAGACAGGGCTGAAACACTCAGTACACAAAGGACTTGGTGTTATACCTATTGCCTAAAAGCACAAACTTGTAAATGGGAGAAAAGGTGGCAAATTCAAATGGTGAAAGATGTGAAGATCTACACAGAACAGGAGAAATCTGTTCCAGGCATATTGTGAGGCTACATGAACCTTTGGTCTGATGAAGGACAGCCATTCTTGCAATCTTGGACAGGGATTATCTCAAAGATATCCAATGACCTGCCAGTGGCCAGTGAGATTTGGGAGAAGCTGATATTGCCATTCTCCAAATCCTGAATAATGTTAGATGTTATTATTTGTGAAAAACTTAGTGAAGATAATGATAGACACCATATAAAAAGTTTTGAAGAATTTGATTTCATTTTCAGAGCAATCTCAATAGTGCACAGCAACTGCAACCTGAGACCACTGTACTGGTTTTGGCTGGGATAGAGTTAATTCTCTTCACAGCTCATATGGTGACATGGTTTGGATCTGTGATGAAGACTGTGTTAATATCACACCAATGTTGTAGTTATTGTTAAACAGTGCTTGCACAGTCAAGGTCTTTTCTGTTTCTCACACTGCCCCCCCTGCGAGTAGGCTGGAGGTGCACAAGAAATTGGGAGGGGACACAGCCAGGGCAGATGAATCCAGCTGACCAAAGGGATATTCCATACCATATGATGCCACACTCATTGATAAAAGCTGGGAACAAGAAGGAGGAAAAGGGAGCACACCTGGAGTTACAGCATTTGTCTTCTCAAGTAACTATTATGCATCATGAAGCACTGCTTTTCTGGAAATGTATGAATGTCTGCCTACTGACAGGAAGTAGTGAATTAATTCCATATTTTGCTTTTCTTGCATGAGAAGCTTTTGCTTTACCTATTAAACTGTCTTTATTTCAATCCATGAGTTTTCTCACTTTTACCTTTCCAGTTCTCTCCCACATCCCAATGGAAGGGAGTGAGCAAGCAGCTATGAGAGGTTTAGCTGCCAACCAGAGTTAAACCACAACCATACAGAGAGCAAAGATAGCAAGTATAATTTATCTTTTACACTATGTAAAGCAAAAGCTTTGTGGGAAATGCACTTTCTAGAATTGCACCTAGCAATAGTTTAAATTCATGTTGATGCAATACAACATCCTACACAAATAGCCAGTAGCATAGGCAAACTTAATTCTTGCTACTTCTTTTTTTTTACTGATTTGTGAAATTTTAAAGTTCCAACATACAAAATAACTTGTTGTTGTTGTTGTTTTGTTTGTTTGTTTTTTTCTCTAAAAGTGGAAGATGAAAATAACCGGATGGAAATAACACATTGGGAAGTAAACAAAACAAGCAACAAGTGGGTTAATTTAAGATACGTGGCAAAAGCTATCTGGAATATACCTTTCTGTGAAAGTCTTCAGTATGTGAACTGTCACACTTGTTACCTAAGAGACGTGAATGAAAAAATAATAGTCTGTGCTTAGAGGTTTCTTCAGTGATTGGGCTTCATTGCATAGGACTGGTGCACAGAAGCAACTCTCAAAACTAGTCTCACATAACTTTCAATTTAGAGAAGTAGGCAGAGAAATTAGGGTTACCCAATGTCACATGGTTGACCAGTGGCACAGCTGGGATTAGAAGCCATCACTCTCAGAGTCATAACAGACATGACTAAGATTACTCATATATATGTAAGCAGAAGCTTGCAGGCTCTGACTACATTAGCTATAACTGTTTTATTAGGGCAAAACTAACATACAATCATATCAAGATCACAGTATGAGAACATTCTCATAAAATTAAATATAAAATGCGCAGATATTTGCAGTTAGGCAAACTGCATGTCATTTTTAGATGATTTAGAGTTTATTATCTACAGATCATATAACAAAAAAGTAAAATCTTTGAATTAATGCACACCTGCTAGCAATCTGGAAAAACAATAAGGATCTCAAACTTTTATTTCTCTCTAGTTTTCTGTCTAAGCACTTTACTAAATTCATCATTTTCCTTTAATCTCCTTCCAGCCACATTCCAGCTGCTTAAGAGACTTTTAATGAGAGTCTGTTCCTGTGCAATGCCTAATGTCCCCTGGATCTGAAAAGTCTTAAAAACCCTTAAAAATATGCCTTTTCTCTCTCTTCCCAGAAAGGAGAGAAATCAAAGGGAGCCACAACAGCACTCTATATCTGATTTCACAGGCCTTTCATGTTCCACAGAAATATCCACACCCCACAGATAGCTACAACAAGAATTCTGGGAAGGCTAAGAGAATACTGGATGACGACAGATCAAACCAAGGCCCCTCAGGTGCACAATGGGTCCACAGCTCTCCTCTCTCCCTGGCAGCTCAGTGGAATAGTTTTAAACCATTAGGAAGCAACATTGTGTCTACACTAGATCTTGATTTCAGGGGCAGTGCAGTTCCTGCTACTGACTATCCAGCCTAGGCTAGCAGTGAAGTCAGTCATTACACAGGAGATGAGATTTTCAGTCCAACTCTGGACTGGCCACACACCCTCGTCTGTTCCCCACATGAGACACTCATCACCCAGCAGGATGATTTTTTAGAAAATATGATTCCCTGAGATAATAACTAAAGACAAGCCAGGAACTTTAAATAATCAAAAAGCACCCATGGAAAGCCCTTACATATTCATTGCATCTGTAGTCCCACATCTTCTCTGTTGCCCCACATCCTCTCTGTCATGCCAGTCACTATGGACTCCATCTACAGACTCCATCTCTTCAAGACTCGGCTGAGTGTTGACCTCCCTTTCCATTTTTACTCTCTTTCTGCTAATATTCTCTTTTAA